TGTTGTTAAACCCGTCAAATGGCTAGTCGAAATAAAATTGAATAAAAGAAATTATTTTTTAAAATTGACAAAGCCTAATGACTTGGGTATAAGTTTCCGCATCATCAAAAAAGGGGAAATTGTTAGGAATAAAATGTAATGTTTTGATGAGCCGAATGTATTTTTGAAAAATCAAGTAGTCCCCAGTTTTATTTTATTTGAGTCAGTTTTGAGTCCATAGAGTATGGTGCACCTATTTCATGCAACCCAAGTACAAGTCTTGAAGATCATATTTTATTTGAAGAGTTAAGCGGGATTATAGCTTAACACAATTATGTTGTGTATAAGTCACTAAGAACTATGCTAGAAGAGTTGGATGATACTCGTGTGATTTATACGAAATGGTCCTTGGTTTGATGATCTTACTTGGGAGACTAAGCAACTTGGAGACTAAGTAGCTTGGAGACTGAGCAAAAAGGAGACTAAGTAGCTTGGAGACAAAGTAATAAGGAGACTAAGCACCATGCAATGAAGGAATGCACCAGTCTTACAGAAGCAATGCACCAAACGAAGCAACACACCATGTAAGGTGAACCAAGCACAAAATCACGAGACATAGCTTCTTTATCATGCACATCTATGAAGTTCTTGCAGAGGTTCCAATATATCATTTTACATGAATTAATGAAGAAGAAAATGGCTTATATTATTTCACCGTACCATACAAGCAACATTTTCACGATGGAACCGTAGATATTCGAAGGAGGCTGATTCACAAAGATATATTTTCATACTCAAGCAAGAATCAGCAGATGAATCATTTGACCAACTTGATATGTCAGAACATTTATGAAGAACAAAGACAGTCAAGCTAGCCATGCCTAACTTATTCAGATCTTGGAGGCTACAAATTTCAAGAGACAGCAACGAGCAAAATATTCAAAATATCTGACAAAAGGCAAATGACCTTTACCTAACGTTGCAAATCAAGTTGACAACTTTATTTTGATCAACTACATACGAAGCTGGACGATCGAGATCAAAAGTTGATCAACGGGCAAATAGCTTTCATTGACTATAAATTGTCCAAGAAGACTTGAAGACAAGCACGACAGATCAATTAAAAAATACACAAGCAAGAGAAAAACAAGCAATATCTAAATCAGCCAAGAAGAGAATCTTTGCTTCATAGAAATACTTTAGTGTAGAAAGAGGGCGGAGTAACTAGAGAGAGTGAAAAACTCTGGTTGAGTGTAGCTTTGTGCATATCACTCGTTGTAAAGGGCATAGTAACAAGGGGAGCTTGTGAAAACCCCGTGAGAGCGTAGCTTTGTGCGTAGTTCTCGTAGTGTAGGAGTACAGCTTGGTCCGAAGTACTCGGGAAGGCGGAGTAACAAGAGGAGCTTGTGAAAAACCTTGGAGGAGTGTAGCTTTGTGCGAAGCACTCGAGAAGTGTCGGTGGACACTGATTCACTATTGTATCTGGGTGATCGAAGAATAGTGAATTTCCTCCTTGGAGTGAAAGAAGAAGAGCGGAGTAGGAGAATTACACCATCTCCGAACCACTATAAATCGCTCCATCTTTCTCTCTCTCTCTTTACATACTGCTCATTTATTTTGTGCATGCTTTAACTGTGAACTAACTCGTAACGATTTATCGCATATCTATAACTGTCTGGGTTTGATAGTTCCCACGTTCGCATGTAAGCCAAACTTTACATACATCATCCTTAGACTATATTAAGTGTTTTGGACGTATTGCATGTAAAGAATTCATCCTTGAGCACTGCACAATTAACCACAACACGTACACTTTACCGTTATCTATTCCGTTGTGCACTCTAAGTTATTTAATTGCTTATGCTTATTACTTAGAGTTGAAACTACCAAAGTGTTGTGTATTTAAGAAATGTTTGAAAAGTTAGAAAAGTCTATTCACCCCCCTCTAGACTTTTCGCCACCATTTCGAGACCAACATTATTAGATGTGAAACATTACTAACGGGTTTTACTGCAATTTATAAACAAACAAACAAAAAAACAAACAAAAAAAACCAAAAAAACAAAAAACAAAAAACAAAACAAAACAAAAACAATGAAGAAAAGAAATCAATCCAACCAAAATCAAATTGAATACCGATTGTTGGTTCCGGTAGGGTCGAAAGGAGAATCAAGAGGGGGGTTGAATAGACTCAATTTGCTTTTCACGAGAATAACTCCTTTCGGGGTTATTACGCAGCGGATATGTAATGTTAATTTTAAGTTTCTTTGCACTGTTTGAACTTATAGAGAACTTTCGGTTAGGGCGAATGAAATGCGATGCACGAAAGTAAAGTGCTGAAATGTAAAGAGACAGAGACAAGAGATTTTTATAGTGGTTCGGCCAACTGTGCCTACTCCACTTTCTTTCACAACTCGTGAAAGGTTTGCTCTATCACTCCTAGTACAAATTACACCAAGATAGCTTCCTTGATCACTAAGCCGGACAGCTACTTGAAGGTTTTTCAACTCCTAGAGTTTACTCCGCCTCTATCAACTTCTTCTTCTGAGTTGAGGGGATTTGAATAATCATTGAGTTTCTCCAACACGATGAAGTCTTGACTGGCTGGTGGCTTGATGGATAATCAACGTGTACAAAGTTGCAAGACTTCTTCAAGGTTGTGTGAATGAAATCAGATTTGCTTCTTCAAAATATCACACCTTGAATCACTGGATTTCAAAAGCTTTGAGAGAGTGTTCTTAATGTAAGGAGCTTTTGAGAATGAGAGATTCGTTCAGAAAACCAGCACCTTCTAATGTGGAGAGGATGGGTATTTATAGGTGAGAAGAAATCCATCCGTTGGAGGGAGATGGCATTTCAAACCTATGATCCAGTGGTTAATAACCGGAGAGCCTTGTGCATTTATTGCTTCATTAAATGCGGCTGTACTATAGAGACGTTGGAGACAAACACTTTTGCTTATTTTGTCTTCTAGCTCTGAAAAGTAGTACGGTGGCATTTAATGCACCTTGATAAGTGTGCTCTCATTCCTAGGAGAGTTTCTTCCTAAGATGATCTTCAGATGAGACAGATTGACAACATTCTTCTTGAGTTGAGAGAAGATGAGTTGTCTTGACAACCACAATGGTCTCTTGGTCAGAAAGCTTCATTCGGCTTTTGCCTTCTGTTGTAGAAGATCATCTTTCGTTGTTCAGTAGAGATGAGACTGTGCTTCATCGAACTGTTCTTCTTCCATTGAGAGAGAGAGAGACCTAACTAAAAGAAACGATTCTTAACTCAGTTTCGTGTGTTTGTCTATCTTAACACGAATTACATGTTGAGTTAAGGTACCTTTCGTCTAAAACGAAGGTAACGAAACAAATGACAAAAAGTTAGGGGTCTACTTCTAAGTTACATTGGTATCATCAAAATCCTAATACACATGTTCCTAACAATTTCCCCCTTTTTGATGATGCCAAAATCTATACTCTCCTTATAAGGCCAATATTTTTCCCATAAAGGATTTTTCATTTCATAATGGCCAATCAGAAGAGTTTACATATGATTTCCTAGAGAGTGTAGGACAATACAAGTATACAAAGCTGATAACTTAGATAAAGACACTATAGATTGAGATAAAAGTGACTTTTATAGAGATCAAAAACACTTACAAAGAATTGTCACTAGTATTGAGGAAAAGAAGCCTTTACATTTCTAAAAGTTTCGCCTTCTGAATCTGAGCTTCTTCTCTTTCCTTGTCATCTCTTTCTTTCTGTTTCTTGAGCATCCTCTTCATGTCGATGTCTCGGTTGATATGCTCTCTGTACTTTTGAATTGAGCTTTCTTTGACAATTTCTTCATATTCTCCTTTGATGTTGCTGCTTACATAATTGTTGTATGCTTCTAGGATGTTTTCTCCTTCAATTATGCCGAGATTCCACCATGCAACGAGTTCAAATGAGTGCATTCCTTCGGTGTATCTCTTTCCAGATTCTTTCTGGATTTTGAAGGCAGCATTGTATTTAACTCCAGGCTCAACATTTTTCTTGACTTTCGTGACATCCCTTATTGCTTCTTTGATTCTCTCTCTTTCAGCCAATTCCTTTTCTCTGGTAAGTCTCGCTTCTTCTTGCTTATTCCACAGTTCACGATTTGCTTTCTTGATTTCTTTATTTCTTTGAGACTGATGAACTTGCCTGAAGTAGTTATCTCTTTTCTTCAACCACACAGGTATGTTGTACCCTTCAAAATGTTCTCCACTTCCTTCTTCATATGTTCGATACGTGTGGAAGTTTCCTACAGCATCCATTGTAACATTTTTATTACGCAGCAGACTTTGGCGAAGGTTCTTCTTCTCTCTGCTTGTCTTTCCAATGTTTCACCGAATGTTGTTGTCTGGATCTGAAAGAATGTTGTTGCCGAGATCTGGATCCTGAAGGTGGTGATCTCGTGTTCCTTGGAGAAGGGTTTCTTCTTTCTTCATATCTCGTGGAAGATTCATTGATTCGTCTGGGTTCATTTCCACGTTGTGGTGATCTGTTTCTGTCTTCGTCCTTATCATCATCCTATCTTGACTCTTCCCCCTTTTTGGCATCATCACACGGGGTGTTTGAAAATCTGGACAGACTTTGAACCGCAAGAAGAACATCCTTGACGTACTCAAGCATAGTGAGTTGATATTCAGCCATTTGATACATGTTGTCATGCCCGAGATCTATCTTTGTAGAAGCAAGATCCACTCGTTCTTTGAGACCGAAGTGAGCATGTTTGAGAACATGTTGTTCTTTTGCAATTTCTTCAAGGATTACTCGGTGTTGACTGATTTCATGTGCAAGCCGATCTTGAGTATCCGAAATAGGAGTGCTGGGTTGTGGACGAGACATTGTTTGCATTAAGCGGTCCACTTTGGCAGATAGATTTGCTATGGTACGGTTGTCTTTTTCTCGGTGATGCAGATATTGCTTATGAATGAGTTCAGCATTAAAGACTGCATTCAGCATTTGGTGCATGATGTGCTCGGGACTAAGATAGTCTATTGGTTCTTAGTCAGGCGCTTGAGGTGATGCTTCCCGATTTTCATCACGAGGTGATGCATCCATGTTTTCATCACGAGTTGTACCTGGGAGATGAGGCAGTATAGCGAGAGGTAACTCACAAGTTGGGTCTTCCTTTGGTGGGGATGAGCGAGGGGCAGGTGATCGTTCAGGTATATCTTCGGTGTTGCCTATGATAGGAGATTCACTATCATAGTCTGAATTTCCATCATCATTGTCATCGTCATCTGAATCATCATCATGATTGTTGTTATCAGTTTTTCCTTCCTCCTCATCATCATCTCCATCATCGCCATGAGAGCCATCCTGCTCATCACCTGATTTGTCATCATCATCTTCATCATCTTCTTCGTTTTCAGGATTTTCATCATTATCCTTGTCTTCATCAGCATTTTCATCCGAATCAGAGTTCGCGTCACCACTCTCATTTTCGGAGACTCTTTCGTCTTTGTGATCAATTTCCCTTCCTTCGTCATCTTTGAATCCGCTGACATTGCATGCCGGATCATTCTGATGAGTTCGTTCTAACTCTGTCTTGAATTTTGATGGAAGTAGAGCATATCGAAATTCTTTCATCTCTTCGACGAAGGCTGGGTCTAATGGCGGCTTGTTGAGATCAATGCAGATGGGTGCCTTTTCTTTCCCAAGAGTGCGATGGGTCACTTTGTAGGAGTACACGCGCTTGATGGTTTCAAGACACAATGCTTCATAAATGTCTTGTGTACCGATCCACTCTAAAGCACACTCTTCATCATCCTTCATTTCCTCAAACGTTTCAAGAAAAGTTTGTAACGGAGAAGTTCGCCATTTCTGCCATTGCATTACTCTGTTGAAGTCGTTCTCAATAGATTCTCGAAGCAATTGATCCTTTGATGGGGGAATTGGGACATCTTCGGGTACTGACACAATTGCTTGAGAGCTTTCGGGTATGACTGATTCGTGCAAGACTTCAGGTTCGGGTTGAGCTTCTTTCGGATTGGAGTCAATCGGAGGAGTCACTTCTCTCGTCTCAGCTGGTAGACCAGGTTCTTGTGGGAGACTTAAGTAACTCAAAAGATGTGGTGCAACTTCATCCTCATCTACCCTGACAGGTTCTTGTGTCAGAATGAGAGCCATCTGCTCTGATCGGGTAGGTTCTTGTGGGAGGATTGGTTCAGCAGCAATTGTAATTTGATCAGCGATCACTTCTCTCGTCTCTTCTGGCATGCCAGGTTCTTGTGGGAGACTTAAGTGATCGTTTAGAACTTGAGATCCTTGAGCTTCCTTGTCTATCGCGACAGGTTCTTGTGTCAAGCTCGTGTTGAGTTGCTCTGCCTAGATGGGTTCTTGTGGTAAGGAGGATTTTTTCGAACTTTCGGTGCTCCTTGATCTCTTCTTTCTCTTCTTTCTCTTCTTTGATTCCTTTCTTTTCATTTCTTCCCCCTGAGAAGATGCAAGCTTCTTCTTCAGTTTGAATGGTAATATTGACTCAAGAGGGGGAGCCAGTTTCGCCATGATCTCGTTTGCTTTGGCAATGGTAGGCCGAAAGTGGCTTTTTGATGTTTTCACAGGACTAGAGTGGGCAGCCTCTTCATCTTCGGAGAAATAAGCAATTATGACAGGTTTAGTTGAAGACATTTGTGGAGTCTTTTGAGAGACTTCTTTCGTGACTGCTTCCGGTTGAGTTGATGTGGGGTTTTTTATCTTAATAACTGGCTGAGCGGTATCCGCAACTTTCGGCAATACTTCGGGTTGATCAGTGGATGGTTCTTTTCTTTCAGGTGCAGAAGAGTTTTTGTCCTTTCGTGATCTTTTGGCCTTAGGCATATCATCATCACTTCCTTTAGATCGTTTGGACTTTCTCACTTTCTTCACTGAGTCCAACGGCAAGCCAAGCTCTAATGCTTTCTGTTTGTCATAGCCAGTGGGTTTTGACTTCATGTGACACACCTTTCGTCCTGGCGAGACTCCTGCTCGTAGAGGAATTTTCTTCATGGCGAGAAGATAACTAACTAAAAAGCCAAAGCCTATCTTATTGGCAATATCTCCTGGTGAAGGACGGCCATACGTGATGATGTAGCGAAGTTGATTGAATATAACCTTCGACCAATCCACTTTGTATCCCCCGAGGAAAGCATGCAGCATCTTGAACTTGTCGTTTGTGACATCATCAGTTCCCAAGGTCTTGTGTTCGACTACTTCGTTGAAAATATTAACCGTGAACTCATAATCCATTCGTAACCACTTCTTCTTTATAGGCAAAGTAATCTCGGTTGGCCCTTGCTTGTTCTTTATCTGCTCATAGAAGACATTCTGCTCATAGTAGTAACGAGAGAAATCGGGCTGATAGGTTTCGTCTCGGTCTGGGAAAGAGAAAGCTTTCTTCAAGTCATCGACGGTTAGCACCACGGCGGTGCGATTTACCTCGGAGGTAATTTCCGATCCATCGGCAGAAACACTTGCATTCAGGTAAAACTGAGCAACATCTACTGGGAACCAGTATGTGTATAAGTGAGTAACAAAGTTATACAAACCGCTTTCCTTGAGAAGATTGATCACTTTTTCTCCGAAGGAGCAGTCAAGAACGTATTCTAGAAATCCATGAGCATCCCACATGCTTCCACCAATCATAAATGGTACTCTGGATTCTATGAAGTTGATGTCGGATGTTGGAAAGCTTGGTACCACCATTGTGGAGGGTGCTTCATGTTCAGCGTCAGAGGATGGTATTTTGGCTGACTTTGCCATGACTTCAAAAATATGAGTATGAGAAAATTGGGTTTCAAAGTCTAAGAGGTTTTTGAGATTTCTGAGAGATTTTCAAAACTTGGAGTGTTGAGGAAGTTTTGAAAAAGTGGGAGGGAAGGTGATGATTTAGGTTTTATATGAGTGAATGTCATAGAGGTTTTCTAATGGGCCAAGAAGATCGAGCGTTTGACCCGGCCCTTTTTCTTGAAGATGAATGGGTTGGTTTTTTCATTGTTCGACCAATCAGGAAAACTGATACGACAGATGTATCTGATAAGTCCAGTATCATATCAATTTTGATCATTCTGCATTAAATAGGAGAGAGAAAGGTACTCGAGTATAAAACACCTCCATTAAATGCGTGTCGCATCAACTGACATAGGAGCATGGGATAGTGGACCGAGTTTTGTGGCCACACGATTCCCATTATCAATGTAATCGAACGGTTAGGGTGAAATTCCTCAATCCCAAGTAACTGCCAAGACGTGTAGTCTGGCTTAAATGCATATCATGACCAACGTACTTAACTCTCGGTTGAGATAGAGTTTTAAGAAGCCGAGATTTATAATCATAGATGCATTAAAACACAAAGGGGCACACATGATACAGAGAGATGAGTTATTACACGGATGAACATGGATGATAGATATTACATTCATCTCTCGGTTTACACGAGATAGAGATACCCTTATGATTTTTTCTCCCTCTTTCTCAGTTGCTCATCAAGTTCTTGGATCTGTTCCTCACAGAAGTCCTTCCACATTAAATAAGATGGATCATTTTTGAAAGAGCTCATCGTAGGAGATGATAAACCAAGTGGAGGTGGCACATTCTGGAGAAGAGTTGAGGGGAGCTTCTTAGCAACCGAACCATGAGAGCTTTCTCCATGTTCAGATGATAAGTTGAGAGATTTGAACATCTCTTGGACTTCTTTCAAGTCCATTTTCGGCAAGGAAACAGTGGATGAAACCTTTTTCTTTCCTTTATCCATTGTGAGGAACTTGAATAATCATAGAAACATAAGGTGTGCCTATTTATAGCCAGAATGGGTGTTCATACTGAGGTATGACACATTTTCATTTGAAAGACTAAGCACTGTAAATTTGCCAAGTTCCAATGTTTAGAAAGATTCCTGACGAGAGACTATAGATATGACATTTCATGCTTGAAAAGATAAAGTAAATCAAATAAAGATCTACTTCTCTCGTGTTGTCATCGTGTTATCATTCGTGTTGAGATAATAGGAAACAAATAAAGTTTCGTTATTGCTTAATAAAAGATGTTTATTTCGGGTAGGCATAGGGGAACATCAGATAGGAGTACACTTAGGATAATAAAACAGAAATTTTCATTTCTTTCATTTTCCCTTGGCATCCTTGCTTGCCATGCCCTTCATTGACATCATTTTTCCCAATTCTTTGCGAAACCATTTCGCAGTTTTGAATGTCTTGGATCCAGAGGGAAAGTTTGTTGTGTCGACTTCATTATCAGATTCAGATTCACTAGCAATAGTGCTCAAGTACATGAGATAATCATGATCAGCAAGCGGATTTTTCCAATCTTTAGCAGTGGGAAAGTCTCGTCCTCCTTCAATAGGTGGAGGAGTTTCATGAAGATCAGCGATGGGATTCTCTTCGTCTTCAGAGACAAGAGGGGAAACAACCTTTTCAGGCTGATCATCATCAGTGGAGAGATCTAGAGGAGCATGCTCACTGTTTCCTGGATAGAGATCTCCTTGTTCCTCTCTCAGCTTTCGAGCTGCTTCTTTTTCCAGTTTGGTCATGGATCGAGTGAAAGTCCTATGAGATGCCATGTTCTTTCTGGTTGTGAGATATAGAGATTGTGTGAATTCGGAGTGCATAAATCCATCCATTTTATAGCACAAAATGAATGATTCTCCTCATTGAATGTAGTGAGCATTGAATGACCATTCAATAGCTTTTGCGTTATTTGTCGAGCCATTCATTTCGGCTTTAACTAAGTAACGCATAAAAAGATGCTAAGAATATATTCCATGGAGAACTGTGCATCTTTCGTTAGCCATAGCAACGCAACCAAAGATTTATTTTATTTATAATGACCGCTTTGAGGACAAAGAGCCATTAATCTTACATGATAAGAAACCGAAAGGTGATTTTAGGACATAGATAAATTATAGCAAAGAAATTATTATTTCTTCTCTTTTCCCTTCTTCTTCTTGCTGGTTTCACCCTTGTGCTCCTTAGAAACCTTCTTTGTTGCAGATAGATTTGGATAAGATTATCCAACAGAGGGTTCCATTTCTTCATCAAATTCACCTTCGATGTATCCTACAAGCTCGGTTTTGCAATCATAAGTTCGATAGAAGGCTTGGAGATCCTTGTCCATATCAGGATTATTCCAAATATCCAAGGCCAGGAATCCCTTTTTAACTATAAGAGGGGGTTCCTCATTGGGATCAAATGGTCTGGCATCTTCATCGGATTCAAACGTGATGAATCCATCATAGTGCTCAAGATCTGAGTCAGAGGAGACATCCAGGGGAGCACGCAAGCTATTGCTAGGATAAAGATTGCCTTGTTCTTCTCTAACAAGACGAGCTCTTTCTCTGATCCTCCTTGTTGCAACCCTAGTGATTGGTGCCTTAGGAGCCATTGTTGAAGAGCTTGAGTGATGTTAAAGTGGAACAAATGGCCCCCTTTAATAGCCATAGATGTGATATAGATAATCAATGTGTGGAAATTGATTTTAACCAGGTGCGAATTACTTGGAGTGATGGCATCGATTTCCGTGATTTTTGAAACCGATGTGAATTTGTGCATTTATGAGCATCAAATTCCGCACAGCTTTCAAATTCAAGTTTGAAACTTTTGCGAGAAGGTACATTAGCAATTAATTCATCCTTGACCGGAGTAGCAATGTTCAGATATTTTAAGATCATGGTCAAGATGATAATCATTGCTGACATCAAGAACAAGAGATTTTATTAAACGAGACCAGAGAGTAGGTGACCATGCCTTACAGATAAAACAAGCATTAGTGATTTAAAGAAAATGATAAGGCATGTGAAGCTCTAGACGAGTTGACTCATCAGTCACATTAGGCAAGCTAGCCATTTTTGCATATTCGTCCAATTCTTCTAAGGAGAGGGTGGGCTTAGGCGATTTGTTTGATGACTGACAGTAAACATGAGTGAAATCTTCATAAGATTTTTCATTCTTTTGAGGAGCTTCAGGAATGGGATACCAACGAAAGGTGGGTGGATTAGATGAGTGCTTGTGTGCACTTTTCATAATCATTATCCTTTCATGTGCCAACTTTTTGGCTTGTTCCTGATGGAAGGCTCCCTTGGTTTGAGATTCTTTGATAATGTTGTCTAGAATTTCTTTGTCTTTCATGTTAGCTGAGCTTGGCATAGAGTATGTGACATTCACCCTTTCACCATCCTCTTCCAATTTTATGATTGTGGCATTGGTGAGTTTGCTTGCTTCCAAGAGATG